GATTTTGTTTGGGAAGCATTCATTGGGTTTAATTGCCTGCTTTTCTTTCATGAGCTTGATCTGATAATGGAAGTTTTAGAGGCAAATTGATTTTGTTGAAATAGAGTCTCTCCCCCCCCATCTTTTCCCATTATATTCGGGATTCAACTGAAGTCACAGCAAGCATGTTGAGAACTGACATATTCTATTCCACCCTTGCTGGGCACAGGGCAAAAACCTGTCGGGCTCCCCCATGCACTCTCCACGTCCATCCCTAATTGTCACGATGAACATAGCTAACAAAGAACCAGTATCCCCTAGGCAGTTCCATTTGGCTCCATACCCAGCTATCTCCCTAAACCTCACGCTGTGCATTTACACGTGCCTTCCCTATGAAAGGCAGAACGGGAGCAATAATCTCATATGAACCACAGGTGCCACTTTGCATATCAACATTCCACAAATGGATGTTGTTTGAAAGGTGGAACAGAGAAACCACATTGCGTGTTCAGAGTCAACCTAGGACACTGATCTATTTTGATACAATTACTGCCCACAGATGCATAAAGCCCAGACGTTTAGGTTGACAATGGATGCAAAACCTGTATCTGTATCCCTCAACAGAACTGATTAAAAATAGTGTTTCTTTCTCAGCCATGGTAATGCTTTTTTTTTTTAATGTTGCCTTGATAAGGACATAATGAGTTTGTAATGAAAAAGTTATAGAAGACAATAAATGAGGTTTTTCTTTTCCCTGCAATATACGTGCTTCCACATCAACGTATAATGTAAATCCATTAATTTAACACCCGTTTTCTTTGAACCATTATTTCACTCTTCTCCTACCATTTTAATGCTCTCTCTGCATAGTGATTCTCATTTCTGTATTGCTGCAAGCTCACAGCAAATGTCTGATGCTTCAAAACATGCCTTGGATGCTTGAGCTTCTGGTTACTGCTCTTGCCAACCTCATCTCTCCCTGTCCACTCATGACTGCTTCTGCGTAAGCCTTAACACCATCTAATCAATGTGAATATTATGTTCATGCTGTTTGCATGGCTGCAGTTGTACTTATCTCAAGACTGTTTTCTGCTGAGTAGGTATGTGCCCTGTGAGGTACAAGCTGCCCAGTTCTACAGCAGTGACTGCTGCAGGAAATGACTCTCTTAATACATGGAGCGTGCCTCAAAAATTGTCCTGACATAAGATGTCTTTCAGTTACAACTCTCAGTCTTTATCATAACAGTTAATTTTCATAATTACAAAATGATAGCCACAGTGCTTTTAATGGAATGGCACTCAGTCCCTGTGCTTCAGGAGTTCAGACCTATGAGTAAAGGCAACCCTTGTGGTTTTGTGTGAAGGAAGGGGGTGAGAACTGCCATGAGTTTGCATCTGTGTTCTTCATGTAGTACATTAGGAAGCCAGGAATAGTCTTTCAGAAAATACCCCTTGTCATCTCTCATGGGAAAAAAAGGAGTAAGGAAATCCCTGCTCCTTCCATTCCAGCAACTAAGAGATTTTTCTGTTCTGCTCTTTCCCAAGATGTTATGAATCCCACCTTCTGCTTTTTTCAAATCAAATCCCATTTTTACCTCTAAGGAAAGCCATTTGAAACGCACTTAGCAACCATCAGAGTCTATTTTTAACTTCTATCAGGGTGTAATGTACAAAATGTAATAATCTCATGCTTGAAGGTTTTATCCCTTCTTCCCAGAGATGTGAAATTGCTGCAGTTGAATAGGAGTGAGAGGAACTGGGTATGTTGGCTTTGGCTAGAACTTATTCTCTCCCTTTCTCTCTGTTTGTGTCTACATATCCCAAGTTGTTCATCTTCACCTTTAGCACTGTGGTTATTTATGGGCAAACTCAGCCACTGGGAATGTGCTGAACAAAGTAAATCAAGTGTACATTTTTAGATTCCTCTCTGATAATAAGTCCCTCGGTCAAGGATATTTGTAGGATGGGGAATGAAAGAGTCTAGAAACAGAATGAATAACACCTCTATGGCTTCAAGGAGGGCCAGGGGACAGAGGCACTGTTTGGTGAATGAAGAGTGACTTCAGCCTCTCCTTCTCTCATGCAAAATGGGGCTGTTGATATTAACCTTGTTCCAAAGATATACTTTCCATTTTCTACTGATGCACTCAGACCCCGGGAATATGGAGGGAATGCTGGAGGTTTGGTCTGCAGAAGCTCTCGGGGTGTGTGTGGGAAGATGTCTTCTGTTAATCTGCCTGTATTCTCTGAAGCAATGTAGGAAGGATGATCTTACCACTGTAGAACTGGGTTGGGATGCTAGTGTTCCCAAATTACTGCTGCAGTATACTGCGTGAGCCCTTGGCTATGACATTAAAGTCATTAACCTCCATGTGATTTAGTTCATCACTTTCAGCTCGTATTTCTATCCTTTTTTTCCCCACTCCTTGACAAGGCTGTAATAAAGACAAAGTTTGTCTGTCACAGTGTTCATATGCTTCAGAGCCCTAGCCCAGGGGAAAGCTCCTGAGGCTGCTTAGGGGCTTGAGGCTCTCTTGGGTAGCATCTAGCCTTCCTCTTTAGTAAGACAATACCAAAGGAGTCTTTCAAGACTGAGTTGTTGTGATTTAATGCTATCATTTGGTAAGTCTGAAGGGTCTCATCTAGCTTGGTGCTATTTGTGGTGGCACACCTCAGCCATCCAACACAAATAACCTGACCACAGCTTTGGTCCACATGTACTGATGCATATGGAGTTGTCAGTGTTTACCCAGTGAAGCCAGTTTAGACTGTGAACTTCCAGTATTTCTGCAAACATGTCAGAAATACTAGAAGAGGGGAAGTCTACCAAGGACAAACAGTCTGTCCCTGGAGCCACAGGATTATGGTTCTGGGCTGTGTATCTTCTACTGTCCCTGGAGCCACAGGATGATGGTTCTGGGCTGTGTATCTTCTATCACTTGGCTCATTTCAGTTTTGAATGGCAGAAGTGATGGGGCTCTCCCGTTGCTCTGTTCTGGAGAGCAAGTGACCTCCTGTGCCAGATCAGAAATAGACTTTAAATAATTCATTGAATGAAGTCTAGGATTCTTGTAAATGTCTGTCTGATTCTCCTTGCTCTCTATTATTCCTGCTTTCCTACCAACCCATAGAGCATACAGTCACATTCCTGTCATTACATTCTTTCCTTTCACTCACAGATCATCCCATGTCTTTGAGCACTGGTTGAATTTTTCCCTTTTCTCTTGAATGAGGCAATTATTTTACTTAATAATAAGACTTTGATTTCCCCATTTGAGTGTGCTTTGCTCTGATCTGAAAGAGGACATAGACATTAACTTCCTCTGTGTGGAGCTTGCCTTACATTGGGAGTCAGCATGTTAAAGCAAATTGCATGGTACTGTAAACATCCTAGAATCAAGCCCTGTTCTCATTTGTATCTGTGCAATCACGCTGAGTAAAATTCTGCCTGTGGAGCTTAAAGGCATGCACTTCTAATCCTATGCATTTTGTAAGACTAATAACCTGCTTGGAGGCTGGAGGGCACACAGCCTGCTTGGGCAGGAAAATGTAGGGTAGCAAAGCACGAGGCAGAGTCCTGAAACATAATTCTACATGGGAGAAAAACACAGGAAATTGGTTAATATTCCTTAATTCCAAGCACTCTTGCAACCATGTCCTCATTGCTGAAAGGGATGAATTTGTTTATGCCATTTGGCTTCAGGCCGGACTTGAACATAAGGTATGTTTCATCGCAAAGATACATTCCTGTTTTCTTTGGTGGACTGAATTAAATCAGAAGGAATGTTATTTCATCAGTGAGAAAAAGAAAAAAGGAAGGACTGAACAGACATGACATGAATTCATGGCTGGCTTGATGTGACATGGGAAGTCCCATGTTTGGAGAGCATCAGGATTATGTTATCTTCCCCTGTCGCATCGGTTTCAGCACCTGAGACAGAATTCCTGAATGGTACAAACTCAAAGTTACTTATTTCCATCCCAGTCCTATTGACTGTCTGTCTCATCAGTAGTGAAGTTAGGCCAGATTTATACCAGGCTAAGTGGGAATAAAATGTAGCTTCCTTGAAACATCCAGAAAACCTTGTGTGAACTCCGGTTTTCTCCACTGGATGAAATAGTTACTCTGGGATGCTGTGGTGAATTTGAAAATTAGCTCACTTGCAAGCTCTTTTACCTGTTCTAAGAGGTAAATCATAAAATCCTTGAATGGTTTGGGTTGGAAGGGACCTTAAAGCTCCTCCAGCTCCAACCCCTGCCATGGGCAGGGACCCCTTCCACTGGAGCAGCTTGCTCCAAGCCCCTGTGTCCAACCTGGCCTTGAGCACTGCCAGGGATGGGGCAGCCACAGCTTCTCTGGGCACCCTGTGCCAGCGCCTCAGCACCCTCACAGGGAAGAGCTTCTCCCTAAGAGCTCAGCTCAGTCTCCCCTCGGGCAGGTTCAAGCCATTCCCCTTGGCCTGTCCCTACAGGCCCTTGTAAATTCCCTGTAAATGTAAATGCATTGATAAACAGGGAGTCCTGGTGGTGGTACCTGCCAGAAGGTTTCTTGTTTTTTGGCTGCAGTAGACTTGGTTTTAATTTTGATGATTATTTTTCGTTTTGTGTAATAAAACCTCATCAGTTTGTGTGGATTTCAACACTCCTGGTGGGTGTGTGTATACAGGAGAAAAAAACCTGGAGTCGAACCCAGAGCCCTTTAAGTAACAAAACAAGAACAGCAACACAAGTAGAATTGCACCGTAGTTCATTTCAGCCTCACTGAAATTTCCATTGTGCAAGCATTTAAATGTTGTAGTTACTGTGGCACATCTCATTTTACTTTATTCCCTGGTGGATGTTTCCCTGAGAATTTGCTGCAGATGCTGAACAATAAAGCCTGTTGCAAATTGCTTTCCAACTGCTAGGTAATTACAGCAGATTTTATGCTAAATGTAAAGAATGTACTGCTATTTTTTAATAAAGGGAACATCTTTTCTTATCTGATGCTTTAATACTGTCCCATTTGTCTTACTTTCCAGTTGAAGGATAACTTCCTGTTGTTCGCATCCTGGCAGAGCTGCTGGCATCCCTGCTGTTCCGTATTCCTCCCCAGAATCTGCATGTTCCAACAATCAGCTGGAAGTTCCGACCCTTTGTTTGTTTGGTAAGTAACTTTAATATTTAACACAACTACATTGAGGCCACAGAGCCTGTTTCTATCTGCACTTGTAACCAAATCGCACAGAATATTTGCTTTCAGTTGGCTTCAAGGATTACCTCCGTGTTTTGTTCCATTTGTCAGTGTTTCCTAACATGACCAGTGGCATTATAATCTCTCATATACCAGGCAGGGTAAATATGAAGCTCTTTGTCCTTTCTTAGAGGGAGCCCTCTCTCATTGCTTCTGTACACAAATGAACATCTTGTGCTGCAGGAAGAGTGTTGGTGACTCCTCCGCAGTGCGAAGCGGATGAGCTGGGATGGTGGGATTCGTTTTGTGGGGAAAGACCATCAGGAGACTGGGATATGGGCGAGCCTGCAGTTGAAATACTGAGAAATGCAATATCAAGAGGTTTACTGTGCTGTACAGTGTGGCATAGGCACTGCAGCCATGGAGGGCTGTGTTAAATGTCTCCCTGTCCCATCTAGGGCAGAGCTCATTGACCCCAGTGTCACATTCAAGGTCTGTGACTCCAGTGTTTTGGAGAGAGCTGGGTCTGAGGAATACAGGAGCTGGGGAGGGTTCAGGGATGTGTTTGAGCAGGAAGTTGGTTCCTGTGGAGAAGGAGCTGCTGTGTGTTGGTGCGTGCAGGCTTGGGCTTGCTGGATTGGTGTGAGCAAGGGAATGTCAACAAGCTCCAGGATTCACTGTTGGGCAGAACTCCTTCTCCAGGGCCTGCTAATCAAAACCTCCTTCCATTAGCAATGCTTTGCAATGCTCTTGTAGTAAGCACCTATGTTTTATCCCAGCAGAGATGCCAGAATGTCACCGAGCTTGGCACGAGGCGTGGGGTGGGATGCTGCTGCTCCTGCTGCTGGTTCATGTGAGGTGGACAGCTGTATAACCTCCATTTCCTCATGCCACCCTCAAATTATTCTGAGGAGAATATTACAGAGAGCACAGCCCACAGGCTGGGGAGAGGGTGTGCAGTATTAATAGGTTGGTGTCTGAACCACTTGGAGGGCAGTGGAACACGATTGCTTGAGAAAACTCTTACTATTGAGCTGTGAAAAGCAGCTTTGCTGCTCTGCTATGGGATGCTTAGTAAAGTCAGAGCTACGTACTCAACCCTGGAAAGCACCTGAGTGTCTGTTGGGCTGGAGTAAGGCTTGAGGCTGTTGGTCACTGCTGGATCAGGCAAGATGCTGATGAGGCCCTTATTGACATGGGTTAGTGGTGGTCTTGGCATCCCTGGGGTAATGGTTGGACTTGATCTTAAAGGTCTTTTCCTGGTTGATTGTGTGATTCTGATTCTATGCTGTGCTGGGGAGGATGAGGCAGCTCCTGCCCCAGGAGCACCATGAGCCGCTGCAGGGTGATGGATTCTCCACCCAGCGCCCATCAGCAGCTATGAGTGTTTCCACCCACCTTCACATGGCAATGGCAAGGGCTTGGGGCTGCAATCATCTGCACTTGCAAATTTGTACCTGGGAGCTATTGTAAGCTGCAACTGAAATGTATTTTAAACATGTGTCAGTCATTAGAATCTAAAAATTGATCTGAGCCCACACAGCGAGCGAGTGCAGGAGTGAATCCGAGGAGGGCGGTGATTAAATCTGAGAGAGCGGAGTTGCTGCATTTTAGGCCGTTACAACCCCTGAGCTGATGGAAGAAACAAAATCAATCCCAACATCTAGGAACCTGCATTTCTAAACTGCATTCTAAACCTGTCTTAAAGATGCTTTCCAAGAGAAGGCGCAGGTGTAAAACAGAATACTTGACATTTCTGTGAAGGAAGGAAACGGTCATGGAGAGGCTGCTGAGATGAGTGTGTAAAATGTTCGTGGTTCTCTTAGGGGAAAAAAAAAGTCAACACATTTAAACAAATTAGCCTAGGATAAAACCCCAGAATGTGGTGTTTAATGATGTGCAATTGCGTTGACATCTAGTGTGGTCATGGTGGAAAGCTGTAAGAATATGAATAAGTAAAGGTAGTCGAGGGTAAATGATTAGCGTGTTCGTGCATTTCTGTGTGCAGAAGTAGTAAAACCTGAAGCTGGAAATGGAGCTTTGATAAAAGCCTGTATCTGCCGTCAGTGCTGGTAGTTGAGAGAACTTGGAGGAGCTGGAAAAGCTCTGGGCAAACTGCTGGAGAAATCCAGTTATTTATGAACTAATAATTATTAATGATATTAATATTTTTAATTAATAACTATTATTTGTTATTAATCCAGTAACATAAGAAAGCTGCTCTCCAGGTATGGCCATCAGGAGTGTCCCGAGTGACGCTGTGAATGGGTTGTGCTTTCCATGGGCCACCAGCATCACACCAAGGCCCTGCCAGACCTCTTTGGACCCACACAGATCTGGGATGTTTCCTGAGCTGCCCAGAACTTTCTGGTGGTGGTTGCAGTCAGATGCTGCAATGACTTTTCCAGTGGCTTCCTGACAAGAGGTGGGATGGGGTATGGGATTTGTGGTTAGCTCTTCTTAGAAAGAGCTGTATGCTGGTAAAACCTATGGCAGCAGCAGCTCTTGGTGCCAGAACCTGTCTGCAATAAAAGCTTGTGTGCCAGGGCTGAGTTAGAACCACCCTCAGGTCTCTATGCATACTGTAGTGAGTTTTAAACTGAATCTATTCTGTCATAGAATCACAGACTGGTTTGGGTTAGAAGGGACCTTAAAACTCACCTGGCTCCAATCCCTGCCATGGGTAGGGACACCTTCCACTAGACCAGGTTGCTCAAAGCCCCATCCAACCTGGTGTTCTTTATCTATTTCCCATCAATACTTATGTGACTGATTGATGGGAATGCAGAAACAAAGAGGTGCAAACTCCACAGTGTGATTAATGCAGAGGTTTCCTGTTAATCTGCTATGAAGACAGAGGAGAACCACCAAACTGCTCTTTCAGGAGGGTGTCCCTGGGTGTCCTGCAGCAGACCAGACCTCTCAGAGCTTGGGCATGCCAAGGCCCATCAGCATCCACCAGTGTGACAAGCAGGTCTGGTAGGCAGCCAGAGGTCTGACCTGCTCCCCTGCCCAGGGCTGGCAAAGGTGGCAGATGAATCATAGAATATCAGGTTGGAAAGGACCTCAAGGATCAAGATGAGATTGAATAAAACAAGAAGAGATGAGATAGGATGAGACAAGGGAGAACACTCCTGCTCTCCCACCAGGTGACATTATGTTCAAAGCCAATACCCATGTGTCTCAGGAAGAAAGAGAAACCCCATCCAGATTCTTTCTGACTTCCAGTAACGCTGCTGAGTAGTTGAAATGTGCAATTTAACATATGGCTAATAAACTACTAATTAAAACAAATAGGAAACAGTCAACTAATCAAATTTCCTTGTTGCCATATGGCAAAAATCCCTGGCAGCCTCTGAGAGAGGAGTCACCCAGCCCAGGGTATCAGCAGGGCCCCAGTGACTCAGCGGGGATTAGGGTGAAGCAGGGAATTCGGGAATATTACTCATCTAGTTGTCAAACACAAAAATCTCCTTTTCTCTATTACTTGCTTTGCTGGGAGGTTTTTACCACCTCCCGTTGTGTTACCTGCAGGATGGGTCTGGGACATGCCCAGCACCCTGCTCCCAGCCCTCCTCAATAGCAGGGAGGAGGATGAGGGAAGCTGATGAAGCATTTGACGTGCTGTTGATGTGACAGCTGAGATGTTCTCCTCGATGGCAACATCTTTTAAGGAGCATTCACCTGCATCCAGGCTACTGAGAGGAGTGTTTGAGATCAGTCTTGTTAATTCTTGTGTACAGTCACTTGGGATACTCGGAGTCCTGGGAAGCAGAGCTATTCCCCTGTGGCTGGTGGGGCCAGGCACCCCACTGGAACCATAGGCTTATAGATATGAGGAAGATGACTGGGGAAGAGCTTGACAGCAATTCACAAGCTAGGATTTGTTTGCTCCATGCTTTAGATGAGAAACCCTGTGTGCTAATGCATGTGGCAGGAAAGCAGCCATGTTGAGGATCATTTATAAGCAAGGAAAAAGCTTGCTTTGAATGATTCAGCAAGAATTAGCTCTGCTCCACACACATCTCAATACCTTGTATGAAGGAGGAAGACATCAGCTCTAGAGCTGAGAGGGTATTTCAGTCTCTTGAACCCATTACATCTTTGGCATTTCTACCTAGCTTGGTTTGGTTATTGTGGTGACATAGTGATACAGCTTTCTGGTATAAAGAACAGTATATACTGACCCTGTGTAGTGTTTTACGTATATAGGTGATGATGATCAGACTGTCCTATAGGGAGGGAAGGTGCTTAATGAAGCTCCAGCTTAGTCAGTGATACAAATTAAGAACAAAACAGGATGTTTGCCCTGTCTCTTTTATTAACTTAGTTCATCTGTGTAACGGCAGCACTGGATGACTCACAACCTTTACTGAGGCACAAAGATAGGAAGGTCACGTAGGCTCCAGTGCAGAGGAGCACCCCAGCCAAACCCCTCCTGTAGCACTGACTCTGCAGCTTTGTACCCCAGTACTTTGATTTGAAAGTATTTGCAACAGATGAGGTTTAACCTGGCATGATTATAGACAATACAGATAGTAAATCCTCCTAGGAGTCATGAAAGCTGTGAGTCCCTTGCTAGATTTAGGCTTTACTGTAGAAGGTGTCTTTTATCCTCTCTTTTGAATAGTACTTCCTAGTTCTTAAATGGAATCATCATTTATAAAGAAGCTGTAACTGGATTTTTTCACACCTTTTACCCTTGTTTTGGTTCAGATTTAAGTCTTGTCATAGGGGATATGAATGTAATATAAAACTTGGTGTTAACTGATCATAGCCATGAGATGCAGAAAAGGTCATTTTCTATGGGGATGTGAGGTCAAAGGTGCACAAAACATGGATGGTGGGAAAGGTTTCCACAGTGAGAACTCATTACAGAGTTTTATTCAGCTTCTCTTTGTGGATGGCCAGTAGGAGATGAAGCTTGATATTGCTCGTGATGAGAGAGAATTACAGCAAAATGAGGGAGATGC